AAGTTAACTCGAGCTATAACAGCAATTTATAAAATAACAAACATTTTGGATGGCTCGAGTGACACTTGCCTTTGATAAAAAAACACGTCTACTGAGGATTCATATTTCTAAAAAAGTCATCTATCAATGAAACAGTCATCGGTCGTCATTGAAAAGCAATGCAACTATACCGTGCGGGACCGAAATCCGTACACCTAGGGGCTGTTCACAGTTTAGGGGGGGGGGATGTAATTAATCCACGGCCCATACAAATTTAAAAAAAAAAAATGTCCACGCAGGGGGGGGGGTCAAGAATCCCAAAAAACTGTTTACGTTGTTAATGAACAGCTCCTAAGCACGAGAGAATCATTAACGGTCAATACTAAATAATGCTATCACATTATGCTCTGTATCACATCTTTTCCCTACACATTTATCTATATTTTCCCATTATTTGCAAACACCAGGTCTTAAAATTACTTTTAATTATTAGAAAAAAGGATTAATATTGCACATATCTTGAATCAAAATCCGTACAGCGTTCTACGATTGAATCAAAATCCGTACAATTTTGAATCGAAATCCGTACACTGTGTTGAGAATGAATCTAGTTTAGTCTTCAAAGATCTCTGCCTAAGGTTGAGGTGAAATGTTTATAAAATCAGGTCAGTGAGTTATCCCACATCTCACACCACGCAGAAAAGGCATGAAACTAAAATATATGCAGTATGCATAGCCTCTCTGAAGTTTACAGGAAATTGGTAAGAGTACTCAAAAATCTGTAAAACCACTCTGAAGTAAGGCATACTTCATTCGAACGCATAGGACTTTTCTTAGGGTAGCATTTATCTGAAATTTTCTAAACTTCTCTCTGATCTTCTGTGATGCTGGCAGAACAGTTTTGAGATGTTTAATGTAATTTAGAGATTTCTACTGAAGCTATTTGAAGTTCGTTGAGCTCATCTGAGTTTGCCATAACTTCTAAGATTTTTTTTTAATTTGTCTGCTAATTGCAGATTGGTGAATATGGATGAATATGAAGATGCTGGAATATTCGCTGAATCGTTGATTTGTGTCGATGTACACAGCAAAAAAATAATTTTGATATCACGTCAAAGTGGATGCACTACAATCATGTCGAAAATATGGTGTAATATTACTTGCTAAAAAGGACAAAATTATCATTAATACAATGCATGAACTGACATTACGCTGCTTTTACTGCATTTGTTTATTTATGTGGTCATAAAAATTACATGAAATTTTCGACATGATTGTAGTGCATCCACTTTGATGTGATATCAAAATTATTTTTTTGCTGTGTATAGCTTGGAGACGATGGGGCGTAGTTGGGTGATAGTGATTAACTTAAGAGTGAGGGCCTGTTAGTGACTTTTTCCAGCTTGGCAAATCACTGGAATTCGTTGAAGAGTATGCAAGAGAGGCACCACCTGACAATGCAATCCTGTTCGATTAAGGGTGGGTAAAGCGATTAACCTTATACACCAATAAGAAACGTTCTGGCTTGCCGTGATCTCGATGTTATGAGATTAATTTACGTATTTTTAAAAAGTGCTGATTTGTGTATGTAGTAGTGTTTTGTGTTTTAATTCTTTCATTCTTTCATCACTATCCCAACCCAAGTCCCATCTTGTATCATTTCAGCTGTGCTTTCAATGCTTCGATATCCACAGCACATACCCGCCAATACAGTGCAGTGACACTCATCCGTCGAATGAAGCAGAAAGAAGATTTACCAATATCCCTTTCCCTTTGCCCCCTTCCAATCCTCTAAATAAATGTATTTATTAATCTCGAGTAAACCCCGAGTATTCGGCCCCCATTCTACTAACTTTAGTTGTAAAACAAATTATAAAAAATTACATTTAAATTAATTTGGCTCCGTAAAGCTACCGCATTTGAGCATTTACAAATAAATGGATTATATAAAAAAAAGAGCCGAAACGTAGGTACAAATTACAAAATTAATTTGTTCTGATTGAGTGATTGGCAGACTGCCAAGCCTAAACTGTTTATTTTATATGGAACATAATGCTACGAACTAAATAAATAAAATGGAAGGATCTCACCCGAATTATCCTTGAAGCTCCCGAATACAGTTTAGAAAAGTTTCTTGGATCTTGATTAAGGAAAACCGCTACTCGTTACAAGCCCTCGGAAAGAGATGCATCAAATGCAACAGTCCGGCATCTCTCGGTATCGCTATAATCCTGCTAGATTCACACCAAGGTTGCAAAGACTCATTTCAGCTAAAATAATGTTTTTCGGAATAATAAAACCAAAAGATGGTATGATGGCATGTTTTACTTGTAACTTACAAGAAGAGGTTACAAAGTATGCGTTGGAAACATAAAACCTGTAAATTTTGCTTTCTATGAGTCACAATCAGCGATTTGCTGATCGCTGAGTGAGTGAGTGAGTGAGTGAGTGAGTGAGTGAGTTTGTGAAAAATCGCTGATTGTGACTCTCATGAAGTGAAATAAACAGGTTTAATATGTCAAACACATTCTTTGCAACCTCTTCTTGTATCCTACCAATTCAAAATTTGATCATGGCATCTAACTATTTCATAATTTAGAAAAACATTGTTTTAGCTGAAATGAGTCTTTGCAACCTTGATTCACACCATCGTGATCATCTTGGGATCTTCGTTGCCCATCAGCTAAGACAGCTCCCAACAAACACCGCTCCTGGATCTCCCTTTTGACGTTGGATAACGTCTTTCGGCAACATACGGGGGTACAAAATTGAAAACAGTCATTTTAGATGCGTTACGAAAAATTAAAAGATTTTGAACGATAATAACTCAACCGTCTCTCGATAGATTTACGAGATAATGGCATCAATCGATTGGAAATATTTCTAGCAATTTGCTGAATGTTTCAAAACTATTGATTTCATTCTGTAAACTATTGAAAAATGGTTAAAAGTAAACCATTGTCTAAAGATGGTGAAAATCGATTGATTTTTTTATATTCTTATATTTCGCCAACCGAGACATCAGATGCGAGTATCTGACACCTCTGATATTTTCTGTTCTACTATATAAGCGTCCAACAAGGTCGCCCGTTCCATCATTGTCTATCCGATCGTCGACCCAGCAGCAGAGCAGCAGAGCAGCCGTACCAGAGCAGCGGCAGCAGAGCAGCGGCAGCAGAGCAGCGGCAGCAGAGCAGCGGCAGCAGAGCAGCGGCAGCAGAGCAGCGGCAGCAGAGCAGCGGCAGCAGAGCAGCGGCAGCAGAGCAGCGGCAGCAGAGCAGCGGCAGCAGAGCAGCGGCAGCAGAGCAGCGGCAGCAGAGCCTGGGGGCGAAAGGGCAACTACGCCGAGTGCGTTGGTGCCAGTGCTCCGGTATACTGGGTCGCCGTCATGGAATGCCCAGCTGCTGCAGTTCTCAGTCGGTCGTATTCACCGTCTGCTCCGCAAGGGCAACTACGCCGAGCGCGTTGGACAAATGGCCCTTTTCAGGGCCACAACATTATCAAGAAAGTGTTTAACGTACGTATGCGAGTATCTGACACCTCTGATATTTTCTGTATATACTATTGTCAACAACATCAGCCCAACAAAACGGCCCTTTTCAGGGCCACCAAACTTTCGCAAAAGAGTTATTAAGGAATATTCCAAAAATATAATATACACAATTAAGTACAACACATAACAGACGTTATCCAACGCCAACCCTGCGGTCGTATCTAGTATACAACCCTTCCAACTTTTTCTTTTTCCTTTTTACTTATCATCCGCCATGGTCTGATCTATTTCGATCCCGTTCATGAGATTTTGAACAATTGAACAATTGGAGGTTTGTTAACATGATTAAAATTGTTAAAATCACCAAATGAAAATCAGCACCAAAATTCGCTCATATATGTCAGTCTCAGAGCACCTAAATTTACATGAATTTTTCTAAGTGTGTATTACATCCACGCAGTTTGAACTGTGCAACATTTTGAACATAATTGATACGATTTATTTCGATTCTCTATTAATCCAATAAGACAAACTAAACATTTGCCAACCCTGCTCTATACCACAAATTCATCGCATCCCCTTCGACAATGTTTCCAGTGGTTTAGTCTTTATTGCTTTCTCGTGTTATTGTTTCATATTCATTCATTCCTCTATTTCATGAACATACATTGGGCCTCCCTTAGCTCAGTCGGTAAAGCCGTAGCTGCGAAGCAAGACCAGGCTGGAGGTGGAATTTTTCGGGCTCAAAATTGTCTCGACTTCCCTGGGCATACAATCCTTCTAATGCAAAAAATGGTACTGGTTTAAAAAGCTCTCAATTAACAACTGCTTTCAAAAAACACAAAGTTGAGAGCCGGCGTAAAGTTCCAGATGGGACGTCATAAAGCCAAAGAAGAAGAACATTGGACTCTTACAGTTTTATCCCAGTCAAAGCGAACCATTTTGCTAAGCCAGTCGGCCATAAGATTTTATGGTCGTTCATTTCTCGTAGCGCGCATTCCGAACCAAACCACGACCAAAGGCGTCATACAGCCAGCCGACAACGACGGTGGCCGTAAAGTATGAGGGACCCTTTTACAAGGACCTTCCCTTCTGCAACCACCCAGGAACTAAATTACTTTATTGGCTCTCACACCAGAAATGGAGGTTAGCCGTAGCAAGTCGCTTTAATCTTTTTCTACACGTCGGTTGCAGTCGGGGCAGGGCAACATTATTTTCTGTGGATTTAATGAATTCTAGCGGAGATCAAAGCCAGCCCGCGCGTAATTCTATCGGCGTGGGTGGGTGGGTGGTTGGTCGACTAGCAGCAGTGAAATTATAGCACGGATGGAGCTATGGAGCTCCCCATGTTCTAGTTACTTCTTTTTTTATTTATTCACTTTCTCACTTAGATACCTACTTTGGCCACCTGCGGTTAAGGCGAAATGGTGTTTGTTGCCGTCCGCTACTGTCTGTGGCTGTAACACTATAGCGCCCCCACTTACAGTTTTCCCTTTTTTTTTCTCTCTCTCTCTTTTGCATTCAACAGGAGGTGGATTCGTTTGAGCTGGGTGCTTACCTCAGGGATGGCTATCGGTTAGCACAACCCGTAAATTGTCCGGATGAATTGTAAGTATTTTTCTAGTTTAAAAGATTTGAAAAAGCGTGTGGAGTACTTTTAAAAGGATTGAGAAGACTAGAAGAGTGATGAATGTAGGTTAATCTGAGTATTCTAAAGTGGTAGTTGATATTGAAATGGTGGATTTGTTAAATAACAAGTTAAGTGGTTGGTTGGTTGGGTTTGCGTTTCTTTCAGGAAATGTTAACATGCCTAAAATGCGCGAAGATCTTTCTAGGAAGATCACAAAAACATTAGGATTCGAACAACTATATAATTTCAAAAAACACGTTACATACCTAGAAAAAATCGTGTAAATTTAGGTGCTCTGAGACTGACATATACGAGCGTCAATGTTGACATAAAATTGAGTCATAATAGACGCGAAATTCATTTCAAGCAAACGTCCTTTTCGTCGAGTAACGAACTTTTCAGTCTCGGAGCACTTAATTTTACATGACCTGTTTGTTTACGTCTCATCCTTTATGTCAAAAATGGATTCCGTCACGTGTAAAATTAAGATTTCTTAAGAGTGTAACTTTCCGGGGGCAAATTGTCCAGACTTTTTTCATATAATATTATATTTATTTGTTTTCTTATGTTTTTATCCCACTTGAAAGGCAAATTCACTTTTTTGGACCAATTAATCACGTTACCTAGATGATTATGTTGTACTATCAAATTAATAATTAGCTTACAGTTCAAAGATTTCTCATCACAGTGTCATGGAATCAGTTTTCATTATTCGTTTCATTGCGTAATCAAGTATAGTAAACCCCCACCCTCCTCAAAAATGACAATAACTCTATAATTTTCGTTACAATTAACGGAACAAACACGCTTATCCGTCGAGTTAGGAGTTAGAAGCAAGGTTTTTGCCATGCATTTACTGAATTAGGAATCATGAAACCATTACATTTTAAATGTAAACGTTGGGGGTTCACTGGGGGAGTTTTTTTTTTTGGAGCTGCTGCCCTCTGAAGCTCTGAAAAAACTTCATGACACGGGTTTTGTTAAGAGTCATGGAAAGACAGCCCCAAACTTGAATAACTTTAGAAATCACTATCAGATTAGTTTTTTATACTGTTTTAAAAATCACAGCAAAGAAAATGCACGTCAAACTTGTTCAAAGATAGAACCTACTCTTCCCGAGAAAATTTAAAATATCTGTAAATATTCCTAAAAACCATTTTTCAATAGTTTTTCAAAAACATTCATACAGGGAACGTTAATTTTAATTGTTAGGTCATCCTTGCACTCAACTTTAACACATAGAAAAAAGATCTCGATTTTGGCAACAAACATGTGCAGTAGACTGATGCAAAATTTGAAATTTTCGCTCCACAGTCTAGTCTAGTCTAGTCTAGTCTACACATACACAGCCAGTACTTGAAAGAATCCTGGAAAATGATACATCTATCATTTTTCTTGTCATTATTAATGCCTGCTGCACATCAAGGATGTGAAACAAACAATAAAGCGGCCAGGCCTACTGTGTAGTGTTTAGTTAATTTTTGTGGAAGTGAATGTTTACCATGTCTACTTAATAAGTATAGACAGTGGTTAACATTTAATCCACAGGTAATCAAAGAGCGGGGACATACCGTACCAACCGCTCCGTATGCAGGATTTGAAAATAGGCTATATAAATCGTTGGGAGTGACAGAGCTAAGAAAGTTAATGTACACTCCTTGGTTTTCCGATCTCCTGGGATGGAACACAGGTATTTACCCCTTGTGTTCGAGCGTACAGTCCTCCCTCCGTACAAGCATGGACGGCACCGCCCACCCACTGCCATCCCTCAATCGATCCAGCCGACCTCAGTCGAAGGACAACAGAGAGCGGTGTGCGGACGTAACCTATACGGAGGGAATGCTGTATTCGCCTAGGTTATAGCGCCCTTGCTCGCTACCATTTTCTTCTAGCGGTTGGGACCTGAGCACTAACTCTTGTCCTAGCCCTATATGGCATATGGTTATAGCGCCATTACTCGCTTTCTGAAAAGAGAAGAAGGGAAGGGAAGGAGAGGAAAAGGACTTGGGAAAAGGAAATGCGGAATTCCTTTCCTCATTAGTATTTGTATCGTCAACTTTTATGAAAACCATATAAATCATTTTTCCTTGGTCAGAGGTATTATTACGACATTTGAATAAGATTGTCTTATCATTTGTTATTCAAAATTTAATGTTATAATGATCAACATAGCTTTGGATCATCCAATATAAATCGGTAACACTGTCCTGCAACCGATGATTTTTCTAATCCGAAAACTAAAAGTTACGAAAAAGCACTTAGGCCTTCATTAAGTTCCACTTTCACGCGATGTTCAATGTTTCGCGGTTTGCTCTTTACGCATTGTTCAGGCTATCATAACAAGCTATGACCGACGTGACGATTGCTTAAGCCCTGGTTAAACAAGTAAACAAGTTATTAAAATGAAATTACGTTCCCGAAAGCAGTCAACAATGTATCTTAAACCGGATCAAGCGTGCGCCCTATTTTTCTAAACATTCTGACGCGTTCCGCCCAATATATAATACAGACCCAGTATTGATCAACTCAATAATGCAAATAGGCTTGAGTGCTAACCCATAATCTTCTGCTCAGTAAGCAAAAACGCCTACAATAGGACTACAATAGATCAATTTACTGGTCGCAGTAGTGTTTGGTCCCGAACAGAGAAGCAAAAACGCTACGAAAGACGATATTTGAAGTCCGGATAAAAAGCTATTTGAATAAAATGACGTTTCCGAAAGCAGTTAACAATGCTTTTCAAACCAGAGTTCTATCTGTAACGATTTTCTAAAATAACGGCCTGGGATAGATATATAATATCTTAATATCTTTTCCTCCCTCTTTTCCCAGGCTCAAGCATCTGTTTGAATATCCTACCCTAGCTAAGGAGCTGTTCATAAGCTACGTAGACCGATTTTTAGAGGTTTTAGACCCTCCCCCTCTCCCGGCGTAGACAATCGATACATTTTTTTGAAAATGTGTATGGACCGTAGACATTTGTTAACACCCCCTCCCCCTGTAAAGAGTCTACGTAGTTTATGAACAGCCCCTAAGTATATGAAAAAAAAACAATTAAACATGAGTGAACTTACCAATTTAGTTGACTGCTGGATGCAACTTGTCCGTAAACTTCACGTGGAATTCAAAACCTTTGCTGCACATGATTCGATAATGATCACTATTTCTCATCAACAAATGAACAAATTTCACGTTTTCCACACTGAATTTTCACCACAACATTCGTTAAATTAGTGAAAGGGAAGCCGCAGTAAAAACAAAACACGTCAGTTTTACAGCGCGACCTACTTCGATCATCAAATTTTAAATTTTCGCTCCACAGTGCTTAAACGGTTCCAAATTGGGCCCTGCTTAGCCTCCAAAAATTTGAACTACTTTAGTAAAAAACTGACTTCGCACAAATCATTTCAAGTTTATATGGGAATTACTATGGGAAAACTTATGTTTTTGTTCATATGTATCTAATAATTCACCACATCACTATGCTTTTAAAAATGATAGCAATAATTGTAGAAAATTTTCCCAGCTACAACTTTGTTGAAATCCACTTTTCAATCAAATGTAAGGAACAAAAGTTATTAATGATTCAAGTAACTGATATCTTATGATTATGCTCATTCAACTGTTCAGCAGGCAGCATTGGTGTTTCTGGTGCGAAGAATATAGCACAAATATCATGGCTACTATGTCACACTGCAGAATACAGTGTTGCTAACAGAACAGCTGCTTGATCATGCCATAAGATTATCAATCTCTCAAACAATTAATAACTATTTCATTTGACATTTGGCTGAAAAACGATGACAGGAGCACATATCGTGGTAGGGGTAAACAATAGTTGCAATTTCCAAACCTACGACTGGATGCCTTCCTTCAAATAACAACTGAAGTGCGGTAAAAAATCGGTAGAACTGTTTCAAACACACAGTTGGTACTTGAGCGGGTCGGTTTTCATCTCTTTTTGCCAGTGGTGGCGGGGGGGGGGGGACACCCCTCACCATCCCTCTCCAAAGGGGGAGTTTGGTAAAGAGAGATGAAAAAACCGATTTGTACCTTCCTTAAAACTTGTCCTAGCTCGCTTATCTAATATCTATATACAATCTTCACACTGCCGTACTCTAACGGAACTATCAACTCTATGCTTTCATCTACTCCATCTATCGTATAAAAATTACCACTACAGTCTGTTATTTGAAATTAGCATCTTCAACTATGAAAAACGATATTCCGCAAAGTTGTAGCTTAGAAAAATAATGCCATAAGAATAATTATAGAACTTTTCGAAAAAGCAATATGGAAAATGGGTAGTAGACAATGAACAAAAAGTTTGGTTTTCCCATAGTAATTTCTATATAAACTTCAAATAGTTTGTGCCAAATCAGTTTCTTACCAAATGAGTTTAAATTTTGGGAGGCTAATCAGGACCTGATTTGAAACCGTTTGAGCCCTGTGGAGCGAAAATTTCAAATTTTGCATCAGTCTAATGTGCAGTTATGTTTCCAAAATCGAGATTTCTCTGTACCCTACAATATGGGTATTATTGAAGCGAGGATAACCGTTAGATGCTAAAAAAAATACGTATTGGACGTCATTTTGGAATCCAAGATGACAGTCATCGGTTTACGAAAAGAAATACAAATTTCCAGATATATGGAAAATAGTCATATTATAGAGTGTTTCAAAGATTATCTAAAACCGATGAAAGAACCAGTCAGTTCTACAAGAGGTCAATAAAGTTACAACCGACCAACTCAATCGTTCGTTGGGAGGGAGATACGATTGGAGTTACAAGCGCTGCGGCAACTTCAGGCACTCCGTAGCCATCGGGGTGCTTAGGAGCATTCCACACCAAGTTCTTGACCTCCAAACCGACCTACCAATCGTTGGCGTTCACCTTAAGAACGCCGCTAACTTAGCTATCGGCTGTGCGTACCTGCCCTGCGGACGGATAGCCAACTTAGATGGAGACTTAAGTGCA